TGACCGTGAACATGATATCATTTAATTTCCTTCATCATCTACTTTTTTTTTTTAAACAGCAAGTGGTAGTTTTCATTAAGTAGGTCTTTTACCTCCTTTGTTAGGTTTATTCCTAGGTATTTGTTTCATTTTCTTGCTAATGTGAATGGAATAGTTTCCTTAATTTCTTTCTTTTATATTATAGCTCATTGTTTTAGAATGCAGGTGCTTTTTGTATATTCACTTGGTAGCCTACTTTACTGATTGATTGTTTTTAATACTTTTAGTGGATTCTTTAAGATTTTATTACGCATATTTTCATGCCATTTGTATCATTCCCTTGCCTAATTGCACCAACTAAGACTTCCAATACTTTGTTGAATAGAATGGTGAAAGTGAATATCATTGTCTTGTACCTGAGGAAAATCTTTCAAATTTTCACCATTGAGTATGATGCTAACTTTCAGTTTGTCACATATGGCCTTTATAACATTGAGATATGTTCCTTCTATCCCCAATTTTTTTAGCAATTTTATCATAAATGGATTTGAATCTTATCAAATGTTTTCCTTTATTGGCTTATAGGATCATATGTTTTTAATCTTTATTTTTGTTGATAAGGTGAATGACATTGGTTCATTTATAGATATTGGCACACCCTTGTGTTCCTGTAATGTTTCACTTGGTCAAGATATATTATTTTAATTTGGTTTGTAAGATTTTTATATTAATACTCATCAGGGATATTGGTCTGTTGTGTTATTTCTTTGTATTCCTGTTTCCTCACTTTTGGAAAGATTATGAGAAGGGTGGTAATAGTTTATCTTTGCAAGGTAGATGACATATCTAGAAATTACCAAGAACAGAAGGGTGTGCAACTCATTTCTGGGAATTGGCATTGGCGGTCATGCTTTCCCTGAGTGGTTATGCTTTGGCATGCCTTAGTGAGCAGTCTTAAATTGGTGAAATTTTATATAGTCTACACATCAGGACTTCAGTTCCTTTAATTTGTGTCATATTTTGTCCCAGTATACTTAAATACTTTGTTGCTTATTATACTGTATAGACCTAATTGGACAGACTTCTTGTTTGTAAATGTTACAACCATCCTGAAGGCGTAAAAGATTTATAACCAGTTGTTGAAGAAATTCAATAATTATGTGCTATTGTCTGAAAATGTTTTTTTGAGGAGTGTTTGAGACATCATAGCATTAGTGGAATGCCTGGCTTTTAAGAATTCCTTTTCATTGGAGCTATATAATTTTTTAGATCCAAGTATTCTAGCATCTTTATTAAAAAGAAAAATAATCAAAATAGTCTCTTTTCAATCTTAGAAATAAAATACAGTTACATTTTTTAGGGGTTTTAATTTAATTATCCAGTCTAGTGAAAAAAAAAATCTAGATGGAATGAATTCTTGATGAAATGAAGATGAAAATAATAACTATTTCTCCATATTTACATTTGCATCCATGAAATATTCTTTTTTTTTTTTTTGATAGAGGGACACAATACTGGTTTATAACACTGTGTTTGGCTTAGGTGAACAGTTTTATACCTCCTTAGATCTAAGTCACCACCCTACAAACCAGCATCAAAGCACCTATACTCCTTTACCAGAGATCATTGCATTCCCTCCCTCCCTCCACATAGTAATCTGGATTCTGTACTCATATTTTTAGGGATTGTTTTGTTTCTCTGTATTCTCTGTATCCACACAGGAGTGAAATCCTTCAGTATTTGCTTTTATCCATCTGCCTCATTTCTATTAGCATAATAGCTTATAATTCTAGCCATTTTGTCACAATGGCTAGAGTTTATCTTTTTTTTACAGTGAGTGGTGTTCCTTAGTATATATATACCACACCGCGTCTTTATAATCTACTTGCCCATCATTGGGCACTTATGTTGTTCACATACCTTGGTTGTTTTTAATGGTGCTGCAGTGAACATAGGAATGCATCTAACCCTTTTGACTATTATTTTTGCATTCTTCAGGTAAATACTTAGGAGTAGATTGATAGATCATATAATAGATATATTTTTAGTATTTTGAGGAAACTTCATGGGGGCTGGACCAGTAATAGTCCCACTAACAGTATATGAGATTTCTTTTTTCTCTATACTCTTGTGTACACACACACACACACACACATACACTATTCTCACTGGAGTGAGGTTGTATTTCATTCTAGTTTTGATTTGCATCAGCCTGATAGGTGATGTTGAACATTTTTTCACTTTTCATTGTCCATCCACATGTCTTTTTTGGTAGAAGTAGTTTTATTTAACCTTTCTGCCCATTTTTTCAAAAAGATTTATTTATTTATTCATACAGAACTGGGGTACAGGCCAGAGGTGCAGGGGCAGTGAGAGGATTCACCAGAGACAGAGTGGGAGCAGAACATACGGACTGACAAAGTACACTGATGAGGGGAGCAGTGGGCGGGGTCAGGAGAGGTCTGCTATGCCATGTGGTCACCTCTGGGGCGGGGATCGAACTCATGCTGAAGTGACCTTAGCTTCTTATTACTGTGCTTTAACCCGCTGTGCCACCAGGGAGGGCCTCTACCCATTTTTTTTTAATTGGGTTTATCATCAGCATTTAAATGTTTCTGGCTTTCTTTTGATTATTGGACTTCCATTTTCATTCTCTTATGAAGTGAAAGATGTGAGAACATTATAGTTCAACATAAGTGGATTGACAACTAGACTTGTCTCTAAGGTCCTTTTCATTCACTACTTTGATTCTTTGATTCTTTGATTACTTTGATTCTCATCCCAGAGTTTCAGACTTCTCTGAAACTCACCTATGGTAGCTAAGATTCCTAACCCCTAGAAGTTTGCTGTCTCTCAGGATACTGAGGTTACTCTTCTTTGCATTTTAAAATTAAGCACTTAGATGAAATGTTGCACAGAAGCACAGTCAAATAAAATAGAGAAAAACAGCCAAAATAGGGTTAGTGGCAGATGTGCGGCTTGGAACCTCAGCTGTGCAGAGTTCCTCCACTGGTCTTTCGGTGGCCCCTGAGCCTTTAATTAGCACAACATGGAAAACTGGTACATCAGAGGATTAAGCTCTCTTCCATCATTACAGGGCTGATTTTTTTAAAAGCAGAATTATTTTTCATAATAATGTATTGTGCAAGGTCAAAAGAAAACTACAGATGTTGCTGACAGAAGAAAATCTATTTCAAAACTGATTATTAAACTGTTTTTAAAATTAAAAATAAGGAAAGGACAACCCATATTACTGTAAAGTTTGAAAGAAAAAGAATAGTTCATCAATTCAGAATTACAACATTTTCCAGTAGTATTCTCTTTGAACTGTTAGTTTTATTTAGGGAAAAAAAAGAGACTCTTTTAAAATACAGTACTTAACAAGTTTGTGAGAAATACAGTGTATTTTGCTTTTATTCAACGTCGAAAATATTCTTGTGTTCAATAAGGTTTTATCCAGAAGATCATAATAAAAAACTAAAAAAAAAAGACTTAATCTAGGTATAGGATGTATCCACAGTTTATAGATCAAAGTAAAGTAGAAGATAGGTATTTCCTTCTTGTTTATAGAGTTAATTATTTAATATTAGTTAATATTCTTAAGTGCCTTCTTAGCGCAGTAGGCAGCATGTCAGTCTCATGATATTAGTTAATATTCTTAATATTAGAATCACTGTAGGTAATAAAAACACATATTTTACTTGTAAAACTTTTAAGTCTTAAAACTATGCTAGGAAAAGCATTTTAGTGTTCAAGACTGATTTTTCTTTAACTTTAAAAGCCCATTGTTAAGATCTATTTGGAAATAAGAATATGTTTTTTAATTTTATCTTTAATTAATATGCATTTTTATCCCTCAAAACATCAAGGAATAAATAACAAATTATTGTTATTAGACATATTCCCCTTATTTTCTGTTCTAAGTTATTTTACTATGTACAACAGTATTTAGGAAATATTACTATAAAACAATTATTTTCTCATTAAATTGCAAAAATTAATGAAACCTGACTTCAGTATATAGTTAACTTGGACTTTCAAGGTGTAACTTTGGACTATAAGGTATAATTTTGGAATAGGATTTACCTGCTAATATAATATCATGTCAGGTAATTTTTTTTGAGTCACTTGGGATGAACAGTCTCTGTATACATATAGTTAGAAGCTAATCTGGAAAAATAAAAGTCCAAATTATAGTCATGCAAAGGTACTAATTTGATGAGTAATTCTCAAAGTGGGTTTTCTCTTTCATGGAGAAAGACCTTAGCTTTCTCTCTAAGAGCTGTGTATTAGTATACAATTATACTCAGCTCAGGAGGAATTCCCTCAATGTGAAATGATCTCGTAGAATGACCTCATTTCAACTTTAAGTGCATTTTGGTGATTTTTTTTTTAAAGATTTATTTATTTGTGCATACAGAACTGGGGTACAGGCCACAGGCTCAGGGGCGGTGAGAGGCTTCACCAGAGACAGAGTGGGGAGCAGAACAGGCAGATCAATGAAGTACACTGCTGAGGGAAGCAGCGGGCAGGTCAGGAGAGGTCTGTCATGCCATGTGGTCAGCTCCGGTACAGGCGGGAATCGAACTCATGCGGAAGTGGCTTTAGCTTTTCAGTGCTATGCTTTAACCCACTGCGCCACCAGGGAGGGCCACATTTTGGTGATATTTATTGTACTTTTTGTTCCTTCCTTCATAAAATTTTGCTTTTAAATAATCAGGCTAATACTTTTACTTAAGCACTACCATACTTTCTTTGGCATAATACTTATTAATATGATTTCAGTATCTACTGTTACATAGCATCTCTGTTTGTCCAAAGACTTAAAAGCAAATCTTCAATCATTTATAGAAATTGAGTATCTTTTTTCTGTGAGTCACTGCTGTTGTTGTAATTTAGAAATTGCTGGTATTATGTGTTTATAGTTTTTCTAAAACCAAGAATTTCCTTGGGGGCATACTTTATTGCTTTCGCATTCTTTCCTGCTCTGCTAAGTCTAATGAGGTTTATCTGTCCTTTAGGTGACCTACAAACGAGATCTGTATGCAGCTGAATCGATTATTAAAGGTATGTTTGGCCTTGTGACTGTCTGTGTTGAAAAAATGTAAGCCAGTTCAGCATTTCTCATGACATTCTAAGTCCCAGCAATCTCTGAAGTATACATGCCTGTAGGCCACCGAGGTCTGTGATTTGTTTTTTTTCTGAAAAATAATTACATTTTATTTTGTGTTTCCTGCTTGTGAAATATCACTTATTACAATTTATGTCACATTGGTTTTAGTTTTTATGAAGGAAATACTTTATTAATTTGGGAAAAGTACAGGATATTGACACTAGACATAAAATGGAAATAAAAATGGATTTTAATGAATGGTATAAAGATACTATATTTATTTTTAGTGTTAAGAGGACTGTTCTCTCAACCCCCAAAACTGTTGAATCAGTACATTAGAGAGCAGTTTTCATATGAGAGAAATTTTTTCCTTAGCAGTGGAGAAATTAGACTGGATGGTTACTTAATTCTTTTTATTTTATTTGCATTTTTCTCATTTTAGGTATCATATATGTGATCATCCCTTTCTTGTTTTTCATGTATATGATTCTAAGATCCTGCTACACAGTAATTTATTTAATAATAAAGAACTATTAACATGCATGATGTCGTCTTGGAATGGATTGAAGATGCATATGGGGCAGTCATTCTGTTTATTTGTAGCCTCTGTGATTTAAAGTTGAGAGAGTGAGCCCGAGCACTATTGACATTTTAGACATAGTGACTTTCTGGAGGGGATGGTTTTGTGCACTCTAGTGGCTCAGCAGTGTCCTTCCTACACTTGCTGTCCCGAGATGAGCTCACTCTTCTTCCCCTGCCTGCATAACATCAACATGTCTCCTGATAGAACCACTGTGTTAAACAGATAGTCCTAGCAAGAACACAATCCTGAAGTCAGTGAGGTGTTAGTAACAGACTCATTAGAAAATAGATCAAGAGCAGAACTGTGTACCTTTTATTGAGAGGTCAACTTCTAAATTCAGACAGTGATTGAAGTTGAAAGAAATACTGAATCTGAATTTTGCATGGACTGAAACTGAATTTTCCATGCAGAATTAGAAATGCAAGCCCTAGTGTTTCCTGTTTGTGAAATATCACTTATTACCAATTTTGAGAAAACCAATTTAAAAATCAGTTGCTTCACAGTCAAAAAACTGAACATTTTTCTTTGCTCATGATGTAATCTGTACTTTTATTTAACATCAGATTTTTTTTCACTTCGAGAATATTGTATTTCAAGCCATTAATGTACTATAATTTGTGCATTTCTATATCTGTATGTAGACAAATCATGTGTAAATATAAATCAGAATGTTTATATGGATTTACATATCAGCCAGGCAATATGTAAACATTACTCTGGAGAAGTTTGCTAATCCATGATATGGTTGGTTACATTCTCAACCAAATATGAAAATTGGTTTGGTTTCTTGTCATATCTCTGTTACCTAGTTAAAATGGAAATGATTTATTTCGTAAATAGTTGGTAAGTGGTTCAACTGAGGAGTCTGTACATTTCAATATTTTGCTTACAAATTTTGAATGCAGTTTTCTTATCATACAAAAACCAATTTTTGGTATAATTGTAGGGACTGTTGTTTTGGAAATTGCAGATACTTTTTTTCTTATTTAATAACACATACTGGTATGCTTTTTTCGGTGCTATTTTATTTTTCAGGTTCTGTCATTGTCATTTTTTTATTGTATTTTTTTTTTATCTAATGTTAGTTTGCAGCATTTTATTGGAGGTATGCCTGACATACCCTGAGACATATGTTACTACACCATATCCATCACTGAACACCCACTGTTCTGAACCAGAGCCCTTAAGATCCTCTCCCTTTGTTCCAGTGACCACCCTCCAGCTCTGGTAACCTCAATTCTACAGTCAGGTTTCTAGAATTTGATTTGTTTTCGTTTTCTCCTTTTCTTTGTTTTAGTATTCTACCATTTTTGTCTTAGGGAAAGGAATGCTTGTGTCTGACTGAATGTAAACAGCTGACTTCAATCAGCTCTAGGCTTGCATTTCTAATAAACCTGGGGCTACTCTGGTGATACTCATATATGCCTTGAGGACCACAACTCTGGGGCCTTCCTGCTGTAGTGAGAGCTTCTTGACCATCAGCATAATGATTACCTGAGAGCTTCAATGCAGAATGCTAGGCTCCATCATATTTGTTTTTAAGAAAAACTGGCTGAGTAGCTTGTAGGTTCAATTCTTCTGGGCTGCACAGCACTTCAATCTTCAATGGTTCATTTCTTTCTTTTTCTTTTTTTTTTTTAAGAGTTATTTATCTATACGTACAAGAATAAATACGATTTATTTATGCATACAAGAAGTATGGGTGGTGAGAGGATTCACCAGAGACAGAGTGGGGAGCAGAACAGGTGAATCTCCTGAACTACACTGCTGAGGGGAGCAGTGGGTGAGACAGGAGAGGTCTGCTGCACCTTGTGGCTCACTTCACTGGCCAGGGATTGAACTCGTGCTGCAGTGGTTTCGGATAGCTTCATAGTGCTTTCACCTCTGTGCCACCAGGTGGGGCCGTATTGTCCATTTCTGTATAAAGAATATCTTTGCCTTAAGGCCTTGACATCTTACTATGCTGTATTAGCTCCAAATGCTGGTTTACTAACCTAAGACTACTACCTGCCTGTTTAACTTGCGTGAATACTATATTTGAGGACTTGATAACAGAAATAGCCTTGGACATAGGACAAAGAACTCCTAAATTGTTCAAAAATAATATCAAATGTATTGGTGGGTAACCAACTCTCTGAGCTATATATCCCTTGTTTGCCATTTTCTTAGACACTACTAGTATGCAGTATTTATTGGGTACTTGTGCTGGACGTAATTTAAAACAATTTATATGTATTGACTTGCTTTTCCAAGAATCAGGGATGTAAGTAGAGTTATTGATTCTGTATTATAAAATATCCAAAGGTTCTAAGCAAATACTAATTTATGGATAGAAAATTGTTAACTATAAACATGTACCTTAGGTAGTTGACCTCTTCATAATTATTTTCTTTTTGCTTAAGCAGAAATTGTTCAGATTCCTTATTCTGAACTATTTAACAGATATGTGTGATGGAATTTCAAATGATTTGTATTTTCAGAGCATGCTAATGCAGCATGTCATATATTATGTCACTTCACAAGTGGGATTTGTAGCCTCAGGATGAAATGAAACCTACAATGTGTGAATATTTATCTGTGATGCTCTAGTAATGGCTACAGAGTTTCTAGCCAGCTCAAATTCAGAACTGACGTATTGCTCTAAATTTTTATCTGATTTTTTTTCTTTCGGTTTTAAGAATTTTTTTGTATTGCATCTTTACCCATAGCTTGGTGTGACCTCTTTTAGACTGTATGTCAGTGAATGCAGGAAGAATCTGTTTTTTCTTCTCTGTCTTCTTATATTGTGCTGAATTAAATTGACTGTATGGTCAAGTGTTTTTGCTACATTTTCTTCTTCAGAATCTGAGGGCCTTACTTTAGAAATAGGTGAGCCTGGTTTCTTACCTTACCAATTTACCTGCTTCCACCAACTGCATATTGGGACCTTTTTTTTATTTATCCCTACATCAAATTTCTTTACTCTTTTTATTTTAAAAATAGATATGTAATATTTGGATGCTAGTACTTTTGTCAAGGTTTCGAGCCAGGACCGGCAGCACATGACACTCATAGCAGACACTTTTTGCTTGGTCTTACAGTTATCCCACTTGGTCTTTACAGTAAACCCAGCTTGGTCTTTACAGTAAACCCAGATCTCCCTTAGCCTGACTCTTCTTAATGTGGCCACTTTGCACTTCTTGAGTCATGCAGCTACTCAAGCTGACTCCAGAAGTCAATACTGCACCTAACCTCTCTTTTTTGGAGGGAATAGCAAATGGCTTATAAAATTCAGCCTTGTCCTTTACCTAACTCATTCTATTAGTCGAGAACTGTAACTTCAGCTAACCTGATAGAGAAGGATGACACAACTGAGAATGAGATATCACCTCCCAGTACTGTGTTAAGGACACAGTATGGTCTCTCAGCAGTGTGGGAAATATGGAAGTGGTACATTTCTAGACATGCCTAGACTATGAGTCAAAATAAACATTAAAAATCCCAACAGTGATTCTAAAGTAATAGCTAAGTACTTTCTCCTTTCCTTTTTAAATTTTGGTAGTTGGATGCTAGGAAGCCTGACTTGCTTTCTGATATGGACCTTTTTGTTCATGCTGTTGTAGGAGTACTTAGTTCTGTGAGTGTCCCTTCCTGAAACTTGTTTTTCATTTGAATGCCAATTACTTAAGCAACTAATTGCATTTTGATATAACTGTTTTCTTGTTTAGTTTTTCTTTTTCAGATCAGATGCTATGAAACATTTCTTTTATAAATAGCTTTTCTTGCGATAGCATTTTGTACTCCCAAATTTATGTTTCTCTGTGACAGCCTGTATAGTTTGGTTCACCTTAATTAATCTTCAAGTTGATATCTTTTGATTTAGTTTTAACTAACTTCAGACAGGCATTTTGACTAGACTCCCCAAATTGTGATTTATAACAAGTCTAGAATCTAATTTAATTTATGTTGTCAGATAAGTCTTAATTTTCAGCTTAATGTTATTCTGCTTATCTAGATTACCATTTATAACAAACTGTTCAGTAATAGGAAATCTGTATATAAGTAGTGCTCTCATATTTGTTTGTCATACTATCGTCTCTATTGAAAATGTTGTTAATCACAAATTTGCTGCTATAATATTATTTGACAGAGGATTCTTAATATTCATTTTTATGAGTGAAAAGTTGGATTTGTTCATTGTTCTTTGATCTTTAACCCTTTGATGTTTCCACTGCGGGTGAAATTTTAAATAAACTTTTCTAGGAATTAACTAGTGCGATGAGACACTGGGCTGACTGATCAATTTGTAAACAGTCACTTTAACAATGAGGTATTGTATTTGTCGCACAGACTGGGTGAGCCCACCCAAGCCTTGCTGCATGCTCAGACCTA